TTGCATTTAGTCAGAACTCTCCACTATGACATGTCTGTCTTGGGTGTCCCTGCATGGCATAGCCCATAGCTTCTCTGAGTTACGCAAGCCCCTTTGCCATGAATCAGTTCCGACCTGAGGGTATGTGATATTATAGATACTACGGTATACTAAAACAACATACCAAACATGTTACCAAAATGTACTTCATCAGTTGTAATCTGTGAAATGATAGACTCTAGTGTTTACCCATAAATTAATTTCATTTGTATTCAGTGGAGATTATGCCCTTCTAGATTTGTTTAGGATTGTTCCCCCAGCGTTAATCCTGTATGTGTAACAACAGTAAGATGTACATTTCCCATTCACGAATTGTACTCCTGTGTCCTCAAATGGGGTGGAGGGAAACCTCAAGAGTAGCAATGCAGGTGCGTATATAACAGACACTTAATTTTGCAAAACCTCGGAACCAAAACCGATCCCAAGAGCAAAAAACAAAAAACCCAAATCGAAACAAAATACTCGCAGGCACCAAAAAACAGGGAGTGAAAACGTACAAGTAGATCTCCACAGAGAAGGCTCTGTGATAGCATTATTAGGAGGGGAAGAGGAAACTGGTCTTCTTTCGTATTACCAATCCACTGGGAAAAAAGAGGGTTATCCTTGCGGGGGTGGGGGCGCGAGCGCGGAGGAAACGGATTTCTCAGTAGGAACCTTAGTGCCACGGCCCTTCTGTACTGGGGCTTTGTTTCCTCGGCAACGGAGGAAACGGAGCAACTTGTGCCTGATGCACAAGTCGGAATATAGAAGATCGGTACGCTTCCGGAGTATGTTGAGTTCCTGTTTTTAGAGGAAAAATCAAACCGAGGGGAGAGATCGTCTGTCCTATCTACAGTATTTCAAAAAACATTTTTAAGGTGTAACGGAAGAAAGGAGGAGGTGAGCTGAGGCCCGGAGTTACTGCGAGAGTGCCAACTCTTGAACTGGCTCCGGTAGCCGTCCCTGTGGTGCCCGTCTGATAGTCCGCCATTACGGGTAAGGATACGGATTGCTGTTCGTTGAACACCTGCCCTTGCTGCAAGACGGGCGAGAGGAACCGGCGACCCTCCAGAGGTTGGCGAGCTGATGTTCCAGTCACCCCTTACCATCGGTCAGGTTAGCTCTGGCTGATGGGAACTTGAGTGGCAGAGCATCTGCACCGCTGCAAGTTCCCTTGCTGCGTGTTGTAGTTTGCGAGTTAAAAAGGCTGTGAAAGGCACAAGGAGTCTCCAGTGGGGTGTGTGGGGATAGAGTAGTCTCTCTGTCGACGCAGGAGTTGGGCTGGCCGAACGACGAACGGGCTGAATTCTTGTTGCTTGGTGTAGTAAGTTGCAACTCGAGTCGGCCTGCAGGATCCGCGGGGATCTGAAATGTGAACTCCTTCATATATTCTGTAGTCCACGGCATATAACAACAAAAAAAGGTATAAGAGCAGAAGGGTGTAACTACTGCTTTTGCAGCCAGTGGCTGGTATTGTACTTGGCAAAGCGGCCGAGGGAGGGGAGTCACACAGGTTTACATGGAAAGCTGGCCCAGTAGGTGTTCAGAAAGCCTCGAAAGGGATGGTATGCCTTTGAATGATCTAAGCCCCCTTGCGTTCTTTTTATGAGTTACAAATATTTTAAATATATAAATAAAAAATAATGCCTTTGAATGATCTAAGCCCCCTTGCGTTCTTTTTATGAGTTACAAATATTTTAAATATATAAATAAAAAATATATTTGTGTGGTTTTTGCATCATAGCTGTGAATGAGGAGAGTAAGCTGTTGGGTAGGGAAATAGCAGTGGGCATATTGAGGGAGAAAAGGCTGTGAATGAATGTCCTGAACAAACAAGTCGGGTCAAATCTGGACCTGAAAGCGTTAGCACTAGGAGCCTGCTGACAGTTCTTTGGGGATGGACGAAAAGAATTGCGAGGCAAAGGAGGTGCAATATTGCCACTGTTAAATGTGTCTGTCTAAGGATATTAAGTTGGAAAATGTTTATTCACTGAAAACTGGCAGAATGACTATTGCAGAAATCTAAAAGCTTGTAAGATAAAGGTGTAATGTTTGGATACAGCCATGAGGAACAAGCTGTTGAGTTATTATTAAATTAAAATGTTGGGGGAATTTGTGCATGCTTTCAGGCATGCAGTCTTTATCTTTTGAGATGTAATTGAGATATGTTGTATATCAGATGTGGGGAACCATATGGTAGGCTAATGTTGCTTATGTTCCTCTGGAACATTTAAAAATAATGTGTTAAACAAACAGACTTGGTTTTGACTCTTTGCTGAGGTTTGTATGGTGATTTTTAGTGGAGAGAATGGGAAAAACCGAAAAGAATAAAATAATTCTGGAGCAATTTTATTCTGTCATTTTGGGAATAGTAACTGACATTACTGATGGAAATATTGCTGATGGAGATATTTTGCACAAGACATATTGGAAACAACTATTTTCCCAGTACAGTAATTTGTTGTTTTGGTATAAGGAGAATGGATTTGAGGTGGTGGACACTGTTATTCATGTGGAATTTTCAAAACCATAATTAGGATTTTTAGAGAGATGTTAAGTGAGTTGTGAGAATTTGATAGCACGTTTCCACGCATACCTACTTAGAAGTAGGCTACCTTGAGTTCAATGTGTCGTGCTCCCAAGTAAGTGCTTATAGGCATGAAGCTTGAAGGGATTGTTCCCAGATTTGCATCTTCGGATGTGACAAGCAGTTTTGCTTTGGGGAAGTGAAAACATGGACAATTGTCAAGAATCTGAAAAATCTAGAAGGCAACAAACAAGTTGGAAAAAGCTGTTGTAAATCTAGTGAAATTGTTTGTCAGATGTCCGCTAGGAGGCAGTTAGAGATGTTTCTACAGAGGAAAACTGTGCCCATTGCTGCTTTCTGTTTGGCTGACTTTCTTTTCTGGAAGCATGGAAAGAACATACCGGTAATCCTTTTTATGAAACAAAGGAAATGTCAGGAGATTCAAGAATTACTGAGACTAAATTGCTAGATTGAAATTTCTGAGAGAAGGAAGTAGCATCCTTTAAAATGAAGTAAATCTGGTAATCTGATTAAAACCAGGCTAGGATAGGGGATATTGAATTGCCAGTGCCTTGGTGTGGCCCTGGATTTCTCAGTTATATGCTCTGGCTGATAAGATATTAATAAAGAGTACCTATTTGCTTAATAGACCCTGATGTTGGGAAAATGTGAAGTTAGGGGATATTGAATTGCCAGTGCCTTGGCGTGGCCCTGGATTTCTCAGTTTTATGCTGTGGCTGATAAAATATTAAGAGTACCTATTTGCTTAATATACCCTGATGTTGGGAAAATATGAAGGCAAGAGGAGAAGGGGACGACAGAGGACGAGATGGTTGGACAGCGTCATCGAAGTGACCAACATGAATTTGACCCAACTCCGGGAGGTAGTGGAAGACAGGAGGGCCTGGCGTGTGCTGGTCCATGGGGTCACAAAGAGTCGGACACGACTTAATGACTAAACAACAACAACAATTTGCTTAATATAGTTGTAAGGGAAGGCATTTCAGAAGGCACAGGTGAAGCCTGTGGTCAAATTGCTAATGAGTGAGATATGTCTCTGCTAGTAGAGTAATAGGTTTTGGAGATGGTGAGGAGGATGACACAAATTAAAAAAATTAAAGAGGTACTGTATTTATGAAGCATGTTTCTTGAATGTAGTTCTCCCCCATGCAATCAGTTCTGTCATACAAACAAGGATGAATCTAATTGGGAGGAGAGGTGGAGCCTGTCATATCATGGCCTCTGAATATCTTTTACATGTCACTTTTTCCTTTCCCCTTCTTTACGGCACTTTCAGTCATTAGTTTACCAATCTATATCCCATTCTAGCACACTTGGTTAGTTTCTTTGGGTTCAGTCAGGCTCCATAGACCTGACTAACAAGAACTTGTCCTTACTTGTAGAAGGAAGAGAACAGCTGCTGACTTCTTGGATTGTCTTCCTAAGCCTCCATGACTCGTCATGGCAAGAACTGTACAGCGGGAGCTGTATACACCTACCATGAAAAGAAGAAAGACACAGGTGAGAAGGCTTGTTTTTTCAGGGCTGTGGATTGGGGCTGAGGTTCATGGACATTGTTGGGGAAGGAGGGGTGCCTTGTTCTAAGACACTGGTAGTGGGGCTCCAGTTGAAAACCCAAAGAGCAGTGCAAAAAGTATTCTTTCCCAGAGCTTGGAAAAACTACTGGCCCTGGTTATCCCCACCCAGCACAGCCCCATAGGGAATCCTGTGAGTTCAAAAAAAGTAACTTTTCCAAGTTGTGCGTGACCCTACATAAAGAAGCCTTGCCTGCTGTTAATGGAACCAGAATTGTACATTGAAGGATAGCTGAGATAAAAAGGGTTGTTAGAGGGTTCCAAGCCATTCTTGAACTATTGTGGGATGATGGGGAGTCCGAAATGGAAGCTACAGGTCTTACCTTTGGCTTCTCCCCATTGTTATCAGATCAGCTTCTTTTCCCACACTAGTTAAGGGAAGGGCAGTCACTAAGAGTCGGTGGACTAGGCTCCCTTTGGCCCTTCCATGAAGACCAGACCTGGGAGACTATGGTTAGTGCAGTTGATCTTGACCTGGTGATTATTTGGGAAAGCTCTGGCATACATATGTGTATTGGGCACACCCTGAGCAATGATTAACACCACCCCAGTGTTTCATTGCAACTCAAATGGAAACTAATTTAAAGGACTCCTGACCAGCCTAATTTCTCCCTCTCTCCCTGCCTTGAAGGCACTGGGTAACCAATGAAGCCCATAAGTGGTTAAGAGGAACAAGCCGATCTACCTGAGCACATCCCTTCATGATCTCAGCTTTTCTGGGCTGGTATTCTACCAGTTGCTTTCCCTCAAGGAGAGATCTAGGGCTGCCACTCAGAGAGTCTCTTTGAAAGAACGTGGCCTTGCTGTGACTTTTCCTCCCCCTTTTTTTCCCCAGCTGCCTCTGGATACGGGACCCAAAATGTCCGCCTGAGCAGAGATGCTGTTAAAGACTTTGACTGCTGCTGTCTCTCCCTGCAGCCTTGCAAGGACCCTGTTGTAACGTAAATGTCTGGTGCAGTCTATTAGAGTTGCTTAGTAAATTGTGGCAATATATAAGCATCTGTTGCTTATATGCTTTAGTGGTGAAGGAGTTACTTTTTAAAGTATAGATCCATTGTGTAAAAAATAATGGTGTCCTTTTCACTGATTTAACAAATGATGCAAAATCATTTTTTTTACTTACCTCCTGTGTCTGTGGAGCTAATTTTTTGTCCATGCAAATTACTGGACAGATTTGCCTGAGTTCACTTCCTAGTCTCAGTTAAAACAGGTCATTAAATCTCAGTTAGGAGATTGTTCTGTTTCACAGTGTCTTGGTTTTTACATTTGGGTTGTTTTGAAAGTGTGTTCCTTTTTATTTAGTGTATTGTGTGCATTTCTGAGACAAGGCCACCATTTCTAATGATAAGAAAATATGAGCCATAATGGACTAGATCCAATCCAGCATTAGGTTCAGTTCACATGGTGGCTGATTAGTTGTCTGTGGGGAACTGCTAGCAGGTTATGAGTACAGCAGTATCATCTGACTTGTGTTCTCCTGAAAATGATGTACAGAAGCATACCACCACTGATCCCAGAGAGGATGCAAAACCATCCCAAACAGTAGCCATTGATGATCCTGACCTCCATGAATATCCATTCCCTTTTTGAGCTGTTCTGGTTGGCAGCCGCTGCATCTTGCGACAATGAGTTCCATTGTTTAACTATGCATCATTTTTAAAAAAATACTTTCTTTTACATGTCCTGAATCTCCCACCATTAGGCTTCTCAGTGATGTGGATTCTCTTAGTATGAGTGTGGGAAAAATTGTAATTGATGGAAGGGAGGAATGGGAGGTTTGGTGTGTGGGAAAGAATAAGGATGTTACAGGAAATTGCACTTGTAGCAGGCAGAAGAAAAGAGAAACAGCATCAAGGACTGATGTCAGTACGGACCTTCAGTCTTGGCTCTGGCAGAGATGTCAAGAATATTCTTGCCTGTCAAATACATAAATACGCAAGGAAGTGATGGTCTTAAACCTTGCCTGTTTTATTTCACTATTTTTTCCTGCCAGGTCCTGTAGTTGTATGGAGACTATGCTCTTCCTTCTTTCCTTCCAGTTGCCAAATAGAGATGGTTGAATTAGGAATGAAGAACTAATGGTTATCTGGATGTTTTGGTCTACAGTTCTCACATTCCCTTATCATTGACTGCCAGTTAGAGCTTGTGAGAGCTAACATCCCAGTCCTCTTGACCAAGGCTGCCAAAGAGTCCCAAGTTCCCAACCTTGGGTCTCCAAATGTTATCAGACAACAAGTCTCAGAAATCCAGGCTTGCACAGCTAGTGGGGAAGGCTGCTAGGAGTTTTAGCCCAAGAACATTTGGAGACCCAATGTTGGGAACCACGCCTTGGGCCCCCAAATGTTATCAGACAACAACTCTCAGAAATCCAGGCTTGGACAGCTAGTGGGGAAGGCTTCTATGAGTTTTACCCCAAGAACATTTGGAGACCTAAAGCTGGGAACCACTGCTCTAGAAGGGCAGTGGTTTTCACCCCTGCCAATAGTTATTGTCTTCCAAAGTTCTCTGAGCTGCATGTTTATCCTTGAGAAGGGGATACATAACTATTCTTACGATGCTCTGTAGCTCTCACTGAAGTCAGAAGCTGAAGAATGATTCCTTTTGTGTTTTTCTCTTCTTTTTCATTCTCCCCAATTCTAGCCCCGATGGATACTTATATGAAAAAGAAGCCATCCTAGAGTACATTCTGCACCAGAAAAAGGAGATTGCACGACAAATGAAGGTACCAGAGAAGATGGTTACTGGATAAATCTGGGGAACAAGTAAAATTTTTATGTTCACATGTGTCTTTATAGATGGGAGAGAAGGCACTGCTCCAGTGTTCTAGGCAATGTTAGAAATGGCACTTGAGAACTGTGACTTTGTTTCATGGGCATGAGAACAGACCCATGAAACAGGGTCTAGTTGAAGTGGAGATTTCTTAATTGCTATTGTGATGTGTTTATTCCGGTAATGTCACTTGTAGCAGGCAAATGCTTTCAACTCTCTGTTCCAAGACAGTTTCTTCATCTGCTTTCCATCCAGCTCCTGCGTCTTGCCCAGGCCCTACTCCTGGGGAAAGCCCTTTCCAGAAATAACTAGTTCTGTATTCCTATGCTCTCTGTTATCCTCGCAATGCATTTAAAAAACCCTCAATACATTTAAAATACCTTTATCCTCAGGACTGGGCCACTTCTGCCTTGGGATTTTTCTTTATTTACAGTATTTGTATACTACTAAGCTGTTTGATATACGTATACAGAGATATGTAGAGTAGGGACAGAGGTCATGGTACTCTTTTGAACACTGGCAGGCTTATGAGAAGCAGAAGAATGAGAAGAAGACAGAGATGGCCGAGCTGACGAAGGCTGCCAAAGAGTCCAAGGTGAAGAGCTTCCTAGACAAAGAGCTGAGCATCGTCAGCAAACCCCTCAACCCCTTTGACCACAAGGCAGGTAGGTGTTTGAGCAGAGGATTTGGGCAGGTTTTGTCAGTGAATGGTCAAAGAAGAATGTAGAGAAGAATATTCAAGGTAATTCCTCCTATTTGCTTCTGAGGCAGGGATACAGATGCCATTCTTCTTAAGAAATGACTCCTATTCAGTTCCCTCTGATTTGGAAGAGTTTTATCATTGATGTTTAAGTATCTCTGAGTGCCATGGGGGAATCTCTGCTTGCTCTGGTCACCTTTGTTCCATTTATTTCCCTTACACTTATATCTTGCTTCTCTAATGAATTCAAGATGGTGTACATGGGTCATCTCACTCTCTTTTTATCCTCGCAGCACCTGTAACATAGATCAAGCTGAGAGAAAGTAGATGGCTCAAAATTGCCTAGCAAGTTTCATGGCTGAGTGGAATTTGAACCTGTGTCTCTCAAGTACCAGTGTAGCGTCCCAACCACCATCTTTCATTGGTTATCTGCTGGCTCATTCTTGTATAGCTTTGTGCCCCACATCCATCTACTCCCTTATGGTCCCAGTCCCCACCCACCTCTTTCCTAGTAGCTCTCCCGTAGTCAGCATCTTTGAATATTTATCTCGATCCTACCATTCTCCAGATGGGGAAGGAACTCCCAAGCAAAATGTGAGCTAGAGGATATGAAGTTTTATTCCAAGCACAGACCAAAGATGGCTGTATGGTCCCCACCCTATTCACTGCTGAGTTTTCTTGTGATGTTTAATGTTAAAGTGGGCTGATGGAGTGAGAAACTGGAATGCACAAAGCAAGCTTTTGCTTGATGCTGCGGGAATATTGCAGTGTCCTTAATGTTGCACACCTAAATTTTCCCCACAGGCCAGCTTAGATCTCCATTGTTTGGACTGCTATGGGACTTTTAACACCCACTTGCCATATTCTATGTTTATAGAGAACGCTCAGCCTGGACCCAGCAGTGAAGAGAAAGCCAAACAACTGCCCAGCTTCTGGATCCCTTCATTGACCCCTGAGGCCAAGACCCAAGTCATTCAGAAGCCAGTGAGTTTTATCGCTCTTCCCTTTCAAGTTTCATATCTTCTTCTTTTTCCGCTGCAGGAGTGGGACATAAATAACTTCCTATATGTTATTGGACTAGAATCCTTTCTAACCAGTGTTCAAGGATGATGGGAATTCCATTCTCAACCATCTCCGAAACTGTTCGTTCCTTGTTCTTGTTCTGACGTCATCTGCACCAAAGACCAGTTTATCTCCTTGAATTAACAATGAAAACTGTTGCTTATATTTTGGATCTTAAATGGAGGGCATGACCTGCAGTTGCAAAATGGTGGAGTTTGTGGATGACATCCTAACGATGTAGTGTTCTGTGTGGCTGGCTAATATATGTATCTGTAGATTTAAGAGGGTGTTTATGGTTTGTAGATCACTTGTAAAGTAAGGATGCCCATCTAGTGCTGGAGAGGGGAAGCTTCAGCCCAAGGGCCAAATTCAAAGGGAACAAACAAGCACTTTTGTGTTTTTGTTGTTGTTCTCATTTTAGGACAAGTGTGTTTACTGTCCTATGGGTGGGAAGCCTCTGAAGCTGAAGGACCTGATCCCTGTGCACTTCACTCCTGTGGACCCTAGTGTGGATCGTGTTGGACTAATCAACCGGCAGGACCGCTATGTTTGTGCCGTCACACGAGACATGCTGGGGAACTCTGTCCCTTGTGCTGTGCTCCGTCCTTCGTGAGTGATATGGGGGTGCATTTCGACATTCAGGAATGGGAACTTTTAAAATGTAAGAAGTGGGGCAATGTCATCAAGTCTATAGAGGTTAAAGTGCAGAAATATAACAAATGTCATGCTGTTGTTTCTTAAAAGGGGTTCTGTGGTAACTCTGGAGTGTGTTGAGAAACTCATCAAGAAAGACATGGTTGATCCAGTGAATGGGGAAAAGCTGACTGAAAAGGACATCATTGTCCTGCAGCGGGTAAGAGTGACTTCTCTGATGTAGGTGTGAGAAGCCTATGGCTGTTTAGACATTTGCTGGATTCCACTCTCCATCAGTCTATGCCAGTAACTCAAGTGTTTTTGGCATGCAGTTCCCAGAAGCCTTCACCACCCGCTCCTGAGATGGTGGAGTTTCTGGATGACATCCTAATGATATAGTGTTCTGTGTGTTTGGCTACTATATATATCTGTAGATTTAAGAGGGTGTTTTCCTCCACATCTAGTTAACTTTTCTTCATTAAGGTTTGTAGATCACTTGTAAAGTAAGGATGCCCATCTAGTGCTGGAGAGGGGAAGCTTCAGCCCAAGGGCCAAATTCAAAGGGAACAAACAAGCACTTTTGTGTTTTTGTTGTTCTCATTTTAGGACAAGTGTGTTTACTGTCCTATGGGTGGGAAGCCTCTGAAGCTGAAGGACCTGATCCCTGTGCACTTCACTCCTGTGGACCCTAGTGTGGATCGTGTTGGACTAATCAACCGGCAGGACCGCTATGTTTGTGCTGTCACACGAGACATGCTGGGGAACTCTGTCCCTTGTGCTGTGCTCCGTCCTTCGTGAGTGATATGGGGGTGCATTTCGACATTCAGGAATGGGAACTTTTAAAATGTAAGAAGTGGGGCAATGTCATCAAGTCTATAGAGGTTAAAGTGCAGAAATATAACAAATGTCATGCTGTTGTTTCTTAAAAGGGGTTCTGTGGTAACTCTGGAGTGTGTTGAGAAACTCATCAAGAAAGACATGGTTGATCCAGTGAATGGGGAAAAGCTGACTGAAAAGGACATCATTGTCCTGCAGCGGGTAAGAGTGACTTCTCTGATGTAGGTGTGAGAAGCCTATGGCTGTTTAGACATTTGCTGGATTCCACTCTCCATCAGTCTATGCCAGTAACTCAAGTGTTTTTGGCATGCAGTTCCCAGAAGCCTTCACCACCCGCTGCATTGGCCAGGGTTTCTGGAATTTGCAGTCCAAGAACACCTGGGTTACCCAAGGTTGGGAACCACTGGTTTATGCCATTGGTTAGCAATTATGGGAGATGTATCAACATTAGAGATGGGAGCTTTGTGTTTTGTACAAAGTACAGCACCACAGGTGGTGCAGAGTTCCATCTACCTCTCTCCCCCCCACCACCCCAGCCTCCTGGTCCACTTACCAGGCTCTGGATGGTGCTGGGGTCCTCCTTTGGCAGCCTTACTCCAATCCATAGAGGAGCCCAGGCAGCCTTTCTCTGCCTCCTCAGCCAGCCAGCCACTCATTGGCTGTGCAGGGAGAGTCCCCTTCCCACCTCCATGCCAAAGTCTAACATCCGTGTCTGCAGTCCAACCTCAACAATGTGTAATCTATATATGAAATTTTGAATATTATTCAGTGCCTCTAATGAGGTACCCTATCGTCTACAAAAGCTCCTGCTACAATAAATTTGCAGACTTCAGCATGTCACATGACTGTTTGTTCCTTTCTCTAGAGCAGGCTTGTCCAACCTGCGGCCCAAGGGCCGCATACGGCCCAGGTTAGCTCATAATGCGGCCCAGTGCAATTTTTACTATCATTGTCCTGCAGCGGGTGAGTTCTCTGATGTAGGTGTGAGAAGCCTATGGCTGTTTAGACATTTGCTGGATCCCCCCCACCCCAGCCTCCTGGTCCACTTACCAGGCTCTGGATGGTGCTGGGGTCCTCCTTTGGCAGCCTTACTCCAATCCATAGAGGAGCCCAGGCAGCCTTTCTCTGCCTCCTCAGCCAGCCAGCCACTCATTGGCTGTGCAGGGAGAGTCCCCTTCCCACCTCCATGCCAAAGTCTAACATCCGTGTCTGCAGTCCAACCTCAACAATGTGTAATCTATATATGAAATTTTGAATATTATTCAGTGCCTCTAATGAGGTACCCTATCGTCTACAAAAGCTCCTGCTACAATAAATTTGCAGACTTCAGCATGTCACATGACTGTTAGTTCCTTTTTCTAGAACAATGTTTCCAACCTGGGGGTTGTGACACCCAAGGGGGTTGCCAAGTGTTTTTTGGGGGGGATTTATTGCAAATTTATTGTCCTGGGTCACCTTATATGTGTTGTAGTCCTTATTTAATGATTTCTTCCTTGACCTTTCAGAGTTAGTTTGTATGTGTATGTATGAGAAACAGGTCCTTTGGGGGAGAAAGAAGCCTCTAATGTTCTGAGAAGGAATTTTACCCCATTAAAAATGCCTTTTTATTGGAGATATGTTGTTGAGGGGTTGCAGATTACCTGGCTATTTTAAAAAGGGTCACAGCTCTAAAAAGGTGGAGATCCATTGCTCTAGAGTAATTAGTCCTTGTTTATCAGTCTCTTGCTTAATAGCAGCATATGGACTCAGCACTTGGAGTGGTCATACTGCGAGTTAGACACTGACTAAAACAACAAAAAAGACTGAAAAATATCAAAGGCAAAGCCAGCCATAGATTCACACCTGTTGTCATCCAGTATTGCGTTATGACTATTCTCTTATTTTAGGGTGGCACAGGATTTGCAGGATCAGGCGTGCAACTGGAGGCCAAGAAGTCCCGCCCTGTTATGCAAGCTTGACGACCATCCCAGCAGAGGAGTGGAGCAACTGCTTTGTCCTGCTACCTCAGGACTACAAATAGCGCATATGAGGTAGCAAAAGTGTCCTGTAATTCTTGTAAATAAAAGCTGTTTTGGTTTTGTCCTCCCAGTGTGAAACATTTTATTTTATTTAGTTGGGAAGTGATTGGTTAATGATTTTTCAGGAGCTTAGCTTGGAAAAAAAAAAGGTCTGTAAGGGAAAAAAAGTGAGTGCAGATCAGAAATACGAATTTGTCTTTTGGTTTGGTGGTTAATGGTGTCTGGAGCAAAGTTACATAACAAGCTGAACTCGAAGGCCAGCTTTATCCTCACATAGCTTTTCTTACCAAATGGCAGAATCCTGTTGCCATAAATTATACTGCAGATCTCCAGTGATAGGACCAGCTGTGGCCATTTCAAGAATTTAAAAGTTTCCCATTTGCACCCATCCCAGGCTCTGGGGATCCTCATCCTAAAAAGCCTTCAGGTGTTGTGGAATGCATTGAGGAGTAACTTAAAGGAGGAAATTCCCAACTCCTAATCCTAGTCTGACCACTAGGATGTGCAGCAATGATTTTTCCACTTTAAATCTCTCCCTACCCTGTTCCAAGCCCCCAGTTTTCCTAGGATGAATGGTGACTCTAGGGATCCCCAGAGCCTGGCAGGGGAAGTGGGAAGCTATTAATTTCCCATAATGGTCATGGTTGGTGACATTGTCATAACATAACTTATGCCAAGAGGATTCTGTCCAGTGACTCTAGTCAGAAATATAAAATGGTTCTTCATCTTGCACATTTGATACCAACAGATACTTTAAGCCTACAAGCCTATGCAGAGTAGAAAATGACTTCTGAGTAAATGTGTATAGCAGTTGGAGTTCCTGGGTTTGTTAGCTGGGGTGTACATTGTCACTGAAAACATTGGTGTTGGCCAAAATAAAATGCACCGGAACTAGCAATCATGCAAGGTGCCAGTGTGATTCTGTGAATGTTTACCCTAAAGTATGGCTTTGAATTTAGTGCATCTTACTGCTGTGTAGGTTGGTTGAGGATGAGAGCCTGAATTTTGAGATGGTGGAGATAAAATGCTGTGGCAGAGATATGCTTAACTCCTTGCTTCTCACAACTTGAATTCAGACGCATGTGCACACATTCTTTCCTGGAGCAAGTCCACTTGTGTTCTAACTCAGGTGTAGGGAGCCAGGCTAGAGGGGACAACCAGCCAGATCCATTATTTTCTTTCCTACTCACTCTGCTTCACTTGCTTACAGTGCCTGTTCCTGTAGCCTCCTGAATAGGGAGCGTTCTGTAGTTGCAGACATTAACTCCTTGTTTAGACACATCTCTGTCAGGCAGCAAGGCCTTTTATTGAACCAGTCCCTTTAATTTTGGAAAAAAAACTTTTGTCATATAATATGCGGCTTACACTTTTGCCAATCTATACAATATAGAGGGGGTGGGAAATAATTTTTATTAATTATTCAGAGTGTTACAATCATGAGGTTACAGCTCCTGGTGGGCCCCCAGCTGCTTAACGTTTTCTTCATATTCTTTGGCGCCCTCAAGACTACTTCGGAGAAGCTCCGTAAACTCTTCTCGTGAAAGCCTGCCATCCTGGAGAAAAATGAGAGGAACAATGCACCCAGAGGAACAATGTTCACCCAAGGTTTAGGAGCTACGCACACAAATGCATGCAACGCAGCCCACAGTGATTTCACACGAATGAAAAGTAGCACTGAAATAGGTGGTTCTGAGCCTATTGCCTTGTTTTTTCTGCAATTAGTGGTCCCCTCTCTTTACTTGCCCTGATAGGGTCCATTATGGAAGGTTAATATCTGTTTTGATGACCCTGGCAGGCTTTAGGGGGCTTTAGTTTGTTTCTTAGGTAAGCAGGCACCTATTAGAAAGGAAGCAAAGGGGTATCTTGATGTCCACAGAGGTAACAGTGAACAAACACTAGCCCTTCTAGAATAATTTGAATGCCATGGGGGAAGAGAGTGAAACGTGTTTAGCCTGCCTCCTCCCATTCTGGAGTGTAGGCACCTGAATAGTGCAGTAAGCTTCACAGTGTTTTGGGGGAGAGGGAGGGTACAGGTGAGGAAGAATGGATCATAAACACAACCACCCAGGTGTATGCCAGCTACCCTAGCTTCTTTGAAAACTTAAGCAGGCCCTCACACCAATAAATAAGGAAGCAATTCCCCTCTGGAGTGTACTTCTCCCACCCCCATTTCAGGGAGGATGTCCTAATATACATCCCCCGCCTGCTTTGATCACAGCTCGTCATGCTCCTTTGTCAAGTCTTCGCCATAGTTGGTTGCCTGGCTCCCCACAAACATATTCCAATTGTCCAAAATCTCTTCCTTGGTTATTTTCTCGTTCTGCGATGAAGAGGAGAAATGTGGGGATGGGGGAAGAGGTGGTGTGGAGAAGAGAAAGCAAAGAAGGAAGCACACAATTACAACCCAATTACATTATATCCCAGATAATTTATTCAAAATTCCCAACCCCTAAATTGGTTTTACCTACAGTACTTGATTAGTGAATTATAGGTAAAGGAAGATTCTATGATTAATTTGAGCCGGAGATGAAAGGAGAAAGGATTTTTTTCTAAAAACCCACCTTAAGGGATGTCAGCATCCCACTTTTAAAAAACAGCATTTCACAACACACACACCCTTACCCTCCATGCAGCAACCAAGAGGTTTAGAAGGAGAACTGTTTTAAATTCACCTTTTGCTTTTCTCTTGTGGGCAGGCCAGTTTTCAGAAAGGGAGGTAGCCGAATTGCCTTTTAATGCTAGCAGGCAAGTTTTACGTTCTGTATCTGGGCAGTGGGCTGGGGAGGTTCTCAGAACCATTTTGTGACCCATATCCTTCCCAAAAGGCTGAAAACAATGTACTTTAGCTTCGGGGTTGGCATACTGCTTCCCACTACCATCCTCACCACACATGCCCATTTCACAGGCACGTCTGGAAAACTGGAAGGCTTTGAATTCTGGGTATCCACAGCCTTTTCCAGCAAGCCCCAGCAATACCTGTTGCAAAACCTTCTGATGGAGCAGGACTAGTTATGGACCTTTTCACAGCAGGGGAACCTTTCCCCCCACCCTGGGAGATACTGTTGAACTTTGCAAAGAGACTGGAGGATTTATTAGATATACAGTGGAGTGCTATTAAGTTCTAGCAGAGGGATATACAACTTGCCCTCCAGAGAGTTGGGACTAAAACTACCATAGTCTTTTATCATGAACCATGTTGGACAGCACTTCTGCCACCCCTTATTTATAGTCCATTAAAAAGAGTTATTTGGATGGTGTATAATATATATAGATACAATAATAACTAGAGGCGCAGAATGTGAAACCAGCAGCTTTATCATAGAAATCAGAAGCTAAAACAACCCGAGGAACAAAACCTCCCCACCACTACCACTCTAGGAAGATAATCTTATGACCTTGCTCTTCCATTTTAGGAAACGGAGCCTAAGCAGGTGTGTGGTTGGAAAATTGGCAGCTTGTTACGGAGTGCCCCTAGCACGTCACAATCTTGCAGGGAATGTCCATTCCGCCTCTGTACGGAGATTTCACCACCGGGAATATGCTTAATGTTCTGCCTCTTTCAAAAACGAGACCATAGTTCACCCCCTACTAAGTGGTACTATAACGCCAGTGGCAAGGAAGCCCCTGGAAATTCTGCCTTCTCTCTTCCCCGGGCTCAAAGAGAGGACACATCTGACAGAGGGCACTAAAAACGTATTTCCAAGGCAAAATTAGATGTAACATTAACGGGCTCACATAAATTGAAACATATTCTCGTTAGGATAAGATCTGGGTCTTTTATGACGCTGGGGAACTGAAGTGAATGTCAAAGCCAGGACCAAGCACTGTAGATCTAGATGTCTTGTCCCAGAAACTGGCTGTGTTTACAGCCATGTACTATTTCAGAGATGCTCAGACAGGTAAGTGCTCAACTTTTTAGTTAAAGGTTGTGCGAGAACTGTGCCCACAGAGAGGATTCAATTGTCTCCTGTGCTCTCTCCCACTTTCCTAAAAGGGACAGCAAACTATTTTTCTGTCACGGTCTCCATGCTGGAAGTTGGCTGCACAGAAATAAGTCTTGGAAAGGGCCAAAGTCAAAAGGGAGGAAGGCCTTGTCTCCTTCCTCTCTCAGATATCTCCCTATCTTCCCCCTAGTGCCCTGCTGAGGGAAGGAAAGGCTGCTCTCATTAGTTAACAGAGGGCTTTTGAAATTGGCTAGTGTTACAGGTAGCCCCCACCAAAGGATCTTGTGCTTTAACACTGACTTCCCAGGGCTCAGGATACCCTGCAGTTGCTTAGCAACCACAACTCAATTTCTGCCTTTCACAATCCCTGGAAAAATGACCTCTTAAACTGAAGAATGATGGCTATGAAGCAAAACAGCAGGAGGACTTCTTCCTCCAGGACTGACAGTGATGAGTTACCATCATCCTCATCCCACAAATAGCTGGCAGTCAGGGACAGGACTTCAGTCAGTGGAGGAACCAGTCAAATTAACTAATGATTGGGGTGGGGGGGTCTCTAATCAAGGCCCTGATGCTGTTTTTTTGTTTGTTTGTTTTAATAATATCACATATGCAGCTCTGGAAAAAAAGGGACATAGAGTAGAGCAGTGTCAGGGTGAGGCACTTAATCCCTCCCCTCACAATTTCTTGCTGTTTGCTTCCTTGTCTGTGAGGTTCTGTCTGTGTGTGCACAGCCACAGAATCCACAGGGGTAAATACCATATAATAGAAATGGCTAATAGGATTAAACATGTCTCGCAGCCACTTCTTCATGGTAAATCCCTTCCCAAGAAATGCTTTTTATAAAATACGAACACCTCCATTACATTAATTTACATGTCATGTAGATAATCCCCAATTAGACAGCCTTACCAGGACAAAAGCTCTCCATGGAGTATATTAAAACCCAGGCATATTAGAGAGAATATCAAAGCCCTTCAACTCTTCACTTCCTGCTTTAAAAAGACAGGTCATTTACCTGTAACGGATGCTGTCGGGAACATTTTAAAGCAGTGGTTCCCAACCTTGGGTCCCCATATGTTCTTGAACTAAAACTCGCAGAAGCCTTCACCATTAGCTGTGCTGGCCAGGATTTCTGGGAGTTGCAAGCCAAGAACATCTGTGGACCACTGGTTTATCCCCTTCCCCTTAGTCAATATAGTGCTCCACCTAACAGTCACTCCTTAGTTCCCTCCAGCCAACACCACAGCACAATTGCAAGCAGTGTGGGAGACAGTGTGGAGGATGGATGTATTGTACGAATGCACTGACAACCATTCAAAGAGCCAATGTTAGTGGTACGTAACCTTTACTCCTTCTTTGTGGTCTGTATGATTCACACATATGGGTGACTCTCAAGCTCACTTACCAGTTTGTGGAATGTCACGCAAATATAGAAGACAGCACCGCACGACCAAACAACACTTCCAATTTGGCTGTAATCGTGGAGGATGGATGTATTGTATGAATACACTGATTTTAGTGGTACGTAACTTGTACTCCTTCTTTGTGGTCTATATGATTCACACATATGGGTGACTTCTCAAGCTACTTACCAGTTTGTGGAATGTCACACAAATATAGAAGACAGCACCGCACAACCAAACAACACTTCCAATTTGGCTGTAATATCTAGCCTCTAATAGTTGCCAAGGGTCACAGGCTGCAGCCTTGCAAATGCTCTCTTAAAAAAGGTTGCTGATGCCCCTGTTGCTCACTCTTGGCAGCGGAATGTCCCCTCAAGGACCTTGGCAAGGGGCGCTTGGCTAATTTGTATGACAATGAGATTGCTTTCACTACCTGCTTAGAAAATCTCTGTGAAGACACCTGTTCACCCTTTTTGTTTCCTTGGCAGCAAACAGTCAATTAGTTTTCCTTAAAAAAATGTTCTGTCAACAAAGAATACAAGAGTGCATCTAAGATCTAAAATATGAAGAATTTTCTCTACAGGAGATAGTGGTGACAGAAAAAACATGGGTAGGACTGGCACGAAAACTTGAAAGTACATTTGGTAAGAATGAAATGTCTATAAACAAAGTTACTTTACTTTTATGGAACTGCAAATAAGGTTTATTGCAATGCAGTGCAGCCAAGTTCCTTCCTTGCCTAGACGAAGTTATAGCTACCAAGAATACTCTTTTGGACGTCAGAAGGCTCAGGTGAGCCAAAGCCATGGCTTCAAGAGAAGCCTCTGTTAGCTGAGTTAACACCACTGATAAAGACCACTGTGGTGGTTGTGGTTTTATGATTGGGTAGATATTTTTTTAACCCTTCAAAAACCTCTTTACTAAGGAATGAGAAAAAGGTTTTGATGATTTTGAACTTTCTGTTTGGTGAGCCACAATTCCTGATAAGTAAACTTTTAAAAAAGACTATGAGAGATCTTTCTCTTTCAGGCGCAAGAAGCACACAATGTATTTTTGTGAATATGACTCATTTATAGATTTAGCCAATTCTATACATTTTTTCCATTTATAATAACAACATTTTCTGGTGGACTGTTTCCTAAATTCCTTGAGGACCCTAGCTATTGAGGGATAACACTCTATGCCAGGGGTCTCAAACTCATTTTACCTGGGGGCCGCTGGAGGCAGAGTCTCGGTGAGGCTGGGCCATATCATATTTTCCACCAAGCGGAGCAAGAGCCCAAGGAAGCCGTCTGGGAGTTTCCTTAGCCCGGCTGGGGCTCTGAGGAGGAGGAGGGGTGTGCGAGCCCTCATCACTGGCCATGACCCCCTCCAGCTCCTTCTTCACCAGCAGCAGGAAGCTGAAGAAGCGGAGAAGGGAGGGAGCGCTAGAGCTGAAGATGCAGAGAAGGGAGGGAGCACTAGCAACTGCCTAGCCGGGGGGCGGGGGGAGGGCAGGACATAAAAAAAACAAAACCCTCACAGAATCGCCTTGCCAAAGGAGAAGCTGGCGAGTGAGGTGAGGCTTTTTTGACTCTTGACAGCAGAGGACGTGTGGGCGCTTCAGGGGGGCAGGCAAGGTGGGGACCACAAACTATCATCCAGCGGACGACAAATGGCCCCCGGGCCGCATGTTTGAGACCCCTGCTCTATGCTGTTAATTTTAGTCTTTCTATGTCTGTGATAAATTAGATCTGATTACACATCAGGACACCTGGAGTTTCAAGCTGCCTCAGATTGCCCTTTGTCATGGGGAGTTGCAACCATGACTGGCATGACCACCTAGGAGTTATTAGTACTGCATCTGTTCCCTCCTGTTTTATCTTCACAACTGTCTGATGAATTAACAGAGGGAAGAAATACATGAGGGTACCCAACCAAGTCCATGCAGATGCATCTGTCTTGCAGATCTCACTCTGTCCTGCCCAGAAACAGTTCATTTTGCAGGGTTTTTTTTTCTCCTGAGTAGCCAATTTGTAGCTATTTGTGGTATCCCTCACTTCCGTGTTATGTTTTGCATATCTTGTCTAACAGTTCCCATTTGAGAGTCTACATTTGGTTTCTACTCACAGCATCTGCAATTTTTGTTGTTTTCCCTGGAAATATGGATTGACACCAGAACAATATGTTTCTCGGAAGTGTTGTTGGAAGTACCAGGTGCATAGAATGGGTACCATCTTGTTTGTTTCTGGAGCAGTACGTTGGCTAAAAGGGAGGGAATAAAGCTCTACAATGTTCCCAGGAGGGTTCATGCAGGCTCAGAAGGACCCATGTGAGTGAATCACAGAAACCGCAAAGAAGAATGAAGGTTACTCTTTCAGTGCTAGGAATGTAAACATTTCAGTTTGTCATCTTCACTGTACCCGTACATATGTCCTAACCTCTCATGTGCCAATAGTCTTCTACTGTGTCCTCCAGCTATGTTCAACTGTAGCACTTATCATTACCAGCCAGCATGGCAAGGGTTATTGGGCATGATGGGAGCTGTAGTCCAGTACATCTGTGGGTGCTGTATTGAGGAAGCCTGTTCTATTACTTCAGCACATCCAACCCTACTTGAAGTTTTCTTTTTTTAAAGCTGATATGCTAAAAATAAATGAATGGAAGCCTCAACTTTCCCTGCCTCCTTGCTTTTTCAGGCCTTTGCTTGGAGCTTCTTCCCCTTGTCCGTTCCTCACCTTATCAACATCTGAGTGGGTAAGGAGATGTTTGGACTCCACCTCAGCATGGTCATAGTCGGGTGGCAAGATCCAGTGCCCAATCTCTTCCCGGTCCATTTTCCCATCTTTGTTGAGGTCCCGGAACTCCAAAAACTGTTGCCGTTCGGTCTTCACCCAGCTAGGTTCTGGCTCTCCATCTTGAGGAGAATACATGTCACCTGTTCAAAGGAGAGAAAATAGAACAAAATGCCATTTTCAAAAGGAGATGCCTAGTTCTACTCTACTGAGTGATCACCTTTTTTAAAGCAAGCTGTATACTCCCTGGTAGCCTCCAAGTCAGCAGTGGACCAACTGAGGCCTTGGGGGGTACATACAGCTCCCTTTTTTCTCCTGAATAAGACAAAATAATATATGGAAATATGCCACTTCTGAAAGCCTCCAGGACAGGTGATTCATCTTTAAACAGACCATTGGGCCCTCTGCACAATTTAATACTTCATGTGCTAATTTTTCAAAATCAGGAGCATATTTTAGCCGTTCTTTTTTGTTTGTTAGCTTGCTTGCTTGTTTGTACAGAGGGGCCACTGGCCTTTTACAACCTTTGTCATCTGAACACCCACTGAAGTAGCTCACTCTTGCTCTCAGTCAACAGAACACTATCTTAACTCTCTTGGTATAGCTAGCTTCCTTCCCACCCCTCTTAACAAGGCCTGGACTCTGTCCCAAGACCAGTACATTTCCCAGCACAAAGCAAAGAAGTAGCATTCACCCACAATGTTCCCTACTTACCAAGATACTCATCCACTTCAACAAAGCCATCCCCATTTTTGTCTATATCCTCAATGGTTTCCTGGGGGAGAAAACAGTACAGACTATTTTTGGACTGGACATATGTTTCAGCATTCTTATCATTTGTGCCAGTGAATGTATCTTTTCATGGTGCACTTAGCAGAGAATTGGAAATAAATCCGGTCATACATAAGTTCAGACCCATGGAAACTGATGGAACACCATCATGACTGACTTCAGTCCTACTTAAGTCATTTCTGGATCTAACTCCCTATGAACCAAACCTTGCTGTTCAAATTTCTGGTTTTGTTTTTACCTATTCTTTCTGTTTTCAACCCACTTTGCAGTCAGTTGATTCTTGGCATACAACCCTATTCAGGTCACGTGTGGAGATGGGCCTCTTGCTATCTAAGACTCCTATTTCTACAAACATCTCCTGAGGGAGAGGGGTTGCCATGTCGATAATGTTCCAGTGAAAACAAGGGCCAAAATCCTGGAGTGAAAATGCATGTGTAAGGCAGTTACACAGCAGTTTTTCTCATCATGTTGGATCTCCTTTGCACATTCAAGTACATAACCAGCTGCATGCCTGATTTTGAAACTGCTACAACACCACGGGCACAACAGAGAGCTTTCTGATGATGGACAGGTAAAACTTGTACCATCATCCTTACACAATCATGTAATTAAACAGGATTCTAGCCAAGCGGTCTAGTGGCATTGTAAAGCTTAACAAGTCGGTGCATTTGTGACACTGAGACCTACCACATGCAATATGTGAAAGCAGCTGTGTCCCTGACCAAAACTTGAAAAAAACCCTACTTTTGCAGACCACACTTTTATCTTCTACTCAGCATACTCTCAAGAGGACAGAATAGTACAAACAGCTTTTCTAAGCTCTGTCCCTCACACAAACTACCAGAACCTTCTCCTCTCCCATGAGTCCAACATCCCCAGTCTCACCGTCACCACAACGTCCTTCATGTAGTCAAATTCTTCAGGGTGGAGGAAGGCTGTGAACTCTTCACGTGTTGCGCTCATGTCCCCATCCTTGTCAGCTGCCCTGAAGCGTCGCTCGTCCCGGGCCAGCATCTTCCGGTAAGAGTCTTTGTCTTCAATATCACCAAACTCCTCTCCTATGGGAAGCAAAGATGGAAGCACTCATAAGGCCTGCAGTAGGCTTAGGTTCACATGAACCAAGATCTGGAGGTTCCCTACAAGGGGAATTGGGGACATGCAGCTCTCCAGATGCTCAGACGTTGAACCAAACCTCCTATCATACCTCACCATTGGTTAGCCTAGCAGAAGCTGATGGGATGTGCAGCTCAACAATATTAAGAGGGTTTTCCAATATTTATCCTATAAGAGGAGGAATTTCAGAGTCTCTCAACTTTAAATTCTTGCTAATGGCCTTGGGGCATACAGTATATCACAGAAGTGAGTACAACCCCTCACATTTCATAAATATTTTAGTACAGTGGGGTCTTGACTTGAGAACTTAATCCGTATTGGAAGGCGGTTCTCAAGTCAAAAAGTCTGTAAGTCAAGTCTCCATTGACCTACAGTGTATTGAAAACCGATTAATCCCGTAACAGGCCGTTTTTGTTCCATTTTGATTTTTTTATGGTCTGTAAGTCAAATCTCAGTCTGCAAGTCAAACCTAAATTTTGCGGCCAGAGAAGTCTGTAACTCAAAAAGTCTGTAAGTCAAGCCGTCTGTAAGTCAAGGGTCCACTGTATATCTTTTCATGTGACAAAACTGAAGAAATGACACTTGGCTACAATGAGTATACAACTTGTATAACAGAGTAAATGTGCTGTCCCCTCAAAATAACACAACACACAGCCATTAAAGTATAAACCGCTGGCAACACAAATACACCCCTAAGTGAGAATGTCCAAAATGGGCACATAGTGTCAATATTTTGTGTGGTCACCATTATTTTCCAGCACTGCCTTAACCCTCTTGGGCACAGAGTTCACCAGAGCTTCACAGGTTGCCACCGGAGTCCTCTTCCATTCCTCCATGATGACATCACAGAGCTGGTGGATGTTAGAGACATTGCGCACCTCCACCTTCCATTTCAGGATGCCCCACAGATGCTCAATAGGGTTTAGGTCTGGAGACATGATTGGCCAGTTCATCACCTTTACCCTCAGCTCCTTTAGGAAGGTAGTGGTCATTTCAGAGGTGTGTTTGAGGTGGTTATGTTGGAATACTGCCCTGCGGCCCAGTCTCCGAAGGGAGAGAATCATGCTCTGCTTCAGTATGTCACAGTACATGTTGTCATCATGGTTCCCTCAATGAACTGTAGCTCCCCAGTGCTGACAGCACTCATGCAGCCCCAGACTATGACACTCCCACCACGCTTGACTGTAGGCATGACTCACTTGTCTTTGTACTCCTTGCCTGGTTGCCACCACACACGCTTGACACCATCAGAACCAAATAAGTTTATCTTGGTCTCATCGGACCACAGGACATGGTTCCAGAAATCCATGTCCTTAGTCTGCTTGTCTGCAGCAAACTGTATGCAGGTTTTCTTGTGCATCATCTTTAGAAGAGGCTTCCTTCTGGGACGACAGCCCTGGAGACCAATTTGAGACAGTGTGCGCTGTATGGTCTGAGCACTGAGCACTGACCCTCCACCCTTTCAACCTCTGCTGCAATGCTGGCAGCACTCATACGTTTATTTCCCAAAGCCAATCTCTGGGTATGATGCTGAGCACGGGCACTCAACTTCTTTGGTCGACCATGGTGAGGCCTGTTCTGAGTGGAACCTGTCCTGTTAAAGGGCTGTATGGTCTTCGCCACCATGCTGCAGCTCAGTTTCAAGGGTTTGGTAATTTTCTTATAGCCTAGGCCATCTTTATGTAGAGCAACAATTCATTTCTTCAGATCCTCAGATAATTCATTATTATGAGGTGCCGTGTGGAACTTCCAGTGACCAGTCTGAGAGAGTGAGAGTGATGACACCTGCTCCCCCTTCACACCTGAGACTTGTGGCACTAACGGGTCTCATGACACCAGGGAGGGAAAACAGCTACTTGGGCCCAATTTGGACATTGTCACTTAGGGGTGTACTCACTTTTGTTGCCAGCGGTTTAGACATTAGCGGTTGTGTCTTGTGTTATTTTGAAGGGGACAGCACATTTACACTGTTATACATGCTGTATACTCACTGCTTTATATTGTAGCCAAGTGTCATTTCCTCAGTGTTGTCACATGAAAAGTTATGCTAAAATATTTATAAATGTGAGGGGGTGTACTTACTTCTGTGATATACTGTACATAGGAGGGATTCATTAGAAATGATCCCTGGGAAAGGTGCATGTTTTTGAATTTGAACTGGATGAGTGGGAGTGGTGAAAGGAAAGGTTTAGATTAGTTGGACACCATGAAAGATTTCAGGACAAGCTGAGCTTGTACAAAAGGGACACACTCCATTGAAGCCACAATAGAACAAAACAGCTTGTTAGTATATTTTTTAGAAGGCTGAAGAACAGCTTTTAAATTAGCTTCCAGGAGAAGACCAGTAGGAACGTGGGAACAATTCTAAAGGACAAGAGTGAACTTGTCCTTTAGAAATGACACTGTAAATATTCCAGTATCGTAAGTAAAAACATACATATTTGAAAATTTGCAAACAAGTGCTAGAGGATTTGAATATGCTTAATCAGCAGGATCAAGGATATCCTACAAAAGGAAATTTGTATTTTAAAAATCTATGACAGTGGTTTCCAACCTTGCTATGCTGGCTGGGCTTTCTGAGAGTTGCAGTCCAAGAACACCTGGTTTATTCAAGGTTGGGAGCCACTGATCTAGGACCTTTGGATAACAGTGAAGTTCCAGTGAAGGGAAACACTTCTACATCTGGAAGGGTGATTTAGACCAGCCATTGTCAACCGGGGCTGTATGGCTCCCTGGGGTACCTGGCACTTTTGAAGGGGGAGCACAGACTGAAAACAATTCTTCACATACCACCTTATAAGATTTTCTGTATGACTTATACACTCCTGATTCAGCCTATATTTCTTTCTTATTGCATTTATGGTTGTGACCCCCCCCCAAAAAAATAATAATTGAGAACGGCTGGTTTAGATGACCCATGGTGTACTTTCCAACTCTTCAGTTCTATGATTCTGAAAGAAGATGGAGACACTGCCTTATGAGCTGAATTATTCATCACGCTGATTAGTCACTGAACAAGTAGCCCCTGTCAAGAGTGAGAATGAAATTTTGCAGCAAGTGTAGTTTTGGTCTAGCTGAATGGGATTTTTCTTATACAGGTCACAGTGCCTGCGATAACAGTTCCCAGAAAGCTTCGCTACCAGCTATGCTGGTTGGGCTTTCTGAGAGTTACAGTTCAAGAACACCTCGGTTATCCAAGGTTTGGAGCCACTGATCCAGGACCTTTGAATAACAGTGAAGTTCCAGTGAAGGGAAACACTTCTACATCCGGAAGGGTGGTTTAGACCAGCCATTCTCAACCGGGGGGCCGTATGGCTCCCTGGGGTACCTGGTACTTTCGAAGGGGGGGCCATAGACTGAAAACAATTCTTCACACACTATCTTATAAGATTTTCTATATGACTTATACACTCCTGATTCAGCCTATATTTCTTTCTTATTGCATTTATGGTTGTGACCCCCCCCAAAAAAAAGATTGAGAATGGCTGGTTTAGATGACCTATGGTGTACTTTCCAACTCTTCAATTCTATGATTCTGAAAGAGGATGGAGACACTGCCTTATGAGCTGAATTATTCATCATGCTGATTAGTCGCTGAACAAGTAGCCCCTGTCAAGAATGAGAATAAAATTTTGCAGCAAGTGTAGCTTTGGTCTAGCTGAATGGGATTTTTCTTATACAGGTCACAGTGCCTGCATCTGGATGCAATTCAAGCCTCAGCCAGGTTTTGCACACTCCCCCTTTTCCTATTCCTTCTCCAGCACAGACTATGGGAATGAAGAAGCCCTCAGTTCTGTTTTCAGCCAAACCGTGTTCTGCCTTGTTAACTAGACACATGGTGGTTAATTGTAACTGGTTGGTTTGAAAGATGCCAGCTTCAAACACTGGGTTATAAAGCAGGAATCCTTTAATAAATCTTGAGATGAATCACAATTTGAGTTGTGAAATACCAGCTGAAACTCTGTTGCTTAGCATATAAATTGCAACTAGGCTAGGCCCATTGAATCAGTGGGGATTTGGTCAGTCATCCCCTCCATAAATCCCACTGCTTCCATGGGCCTGTTCTAGTTGTGACTATGCTACACAACAGCACTTTAGTCATAGTTGGTTCATTAAAACCAAGAGCAAACACTTCTGATACTCCTGCAGCTGACATGGCCAGGGGAAGGAACCCTATGTGTCTCTTGCAAACTTACTATCTTCCTACCATCACAGGTGAATTTGCTACTGTAGCAGTAGCAAAAATCTTGCAGTTTTCCTTTGAAAGAAACATGAACCTCATTTCCAAGCTGATTCATGCTCTCAGAAGTTCTGTTAGCATCTTACTTTTGCAAAGAAAGGGGAAGGGCTTCTGTAAATTTGGTGCTATAAGAAGCCACAAGGCAGCCTGTAACACACAACAGGCCTTGGGAAGTGGAATGCAATCTACCACCAACCCAACTCTAAGGCACTGCTTGTCTCTGGGCTAAATATGGTCCTTCCACAACCCGCAAATGCCCAGCAGGTCCTCCTCTACATTCTAGTTGCAGAGAAGTTTCTCCTGTCCAGCCAGCCTTCTTTGCGATTGGCTCCAAAAGAAGGCAAAACTGCCAAAACCACAAAAAGAGCTCAATGCTTCTCTCTCTCCCAGGGCTGGATGCCAACCTGGATCTCACAGTCTCAGCCAGCAGCAACAATGCTGGTGAGAAAGCAATAAGTAAATGAGAAGCAGATTAAGTTGAATGCTGTTCTCTGTGCCTACCAGCCAATCTTGCTAATAAACGTACTGATGTAAACTTGGGGTTGGGCGGATCAGAGAATAGATACTAAACACATAAACAGGCCTTAAATTAACTAGTCCAAACTCTTCTAAATCTGCTACCCACCCAGTCCCATTTGCTATATTTATCCCTAACTAGTTATTTTTGCCCCATACATAGCTGCCTTATATAAAGTCTGGTTATTGGTCCACCTAGCTAAGGAATGTCTATTTAGATGGGCAAGTCTCCAGAGGTTCCACCAATGGTCCTTTGCATCATGTGTGTCATTTAACTGGGGATCCTAGGATCTGAACCTGGAAATCTTTGCATCTAAACACATATTCTATCACAGAACTACAATCTCATTTGGGAGCACCTGCAAGTCCTACTTTGCAAAAGCTATCCTCTTAACCCAAGGATACACAACCTATCACTCCCTAAGGCCTTAACTGTACACCCCAGGAGTACCCTGGGGTGTACACTTAAGGTGTACAGAGGATCACTGGGTACCCTGATCTCTGCTGTAACAGGATCACTGGGAAGGGAGTAAAGGAAACATCCTCCACTCCCTCCCCAGATATTATTGTACAGATCACTATTTAAATGTGGGGAGGGAGAGGAGAGAAGGCTCTCTCTATAGTCCCAATAAGGAAAGTGGGTTATCGAGTTGTGTGTGTATAGGCTTATGTATGAGCCCTTATGTAGCATTTCATGCAACCTATTCTAGCGTTTCATGCCACCTTTACCTTCCATTCACCAGCAAATTTTTTGCATCTCAGCCATTTAGTCCCCATATGTGGACCAGAGTTGCCCTCCAGATGTTTTGGCCTACAATTCCTATCAATACCACCCAGCATGGCCAATTATGAGGGATTCTGGGAACTGTAGTTCAAAACAGCTGGAGGGTCAAAGCTTCCCCACTACAGCAGTAAGCAGTGGTTTTCCCCCTGTGCTTTCAGGCTTTACCACGTGCTTTGACATAACCACACACCATATAAATATATTTTATTTTGGAAGCTCGGGGAGGACCTATTAGGTTGAAGAGAGGGGCCTGTCCAGGGCCCTTCCCGTCAACCTAATAGCTCCTCCCCCAGCTTCTAAAATTGGGCCAAGTATCTCCCAGGTGGCCTACTCCTTCTGCATGCAATCCCTCTTTCTCATGAACCACTTGCATTCTTCCAGACGCACCTTCATAGTGACCATAAGTGGCATTTTTGAACTCAGCCCAGGTGATATGCCCATTGTTGTCCTTATCGTAGTCCTTCCAGTTCTTGTTCACGTTCTCATAGATATAGCGGTTCTGAGTGTGCTTGATCCAGTCTTTCAATTCAGGCTGAGTCACAAAGCCATCTCCATTCTTGTCAATTCGATCAACAATTTTCCTGTAGGAGGGATATCACTGCTGTAAAAAGAGGCTTAGTGAAGAGGGGAATGGCTACTAATGTAAATTAATGGTGCAGGAAATCAATCTATGGCGGAGTGGGAAACCTTGGCCTTCTGTTCATTTTGGCTTTCTGCTCTCAGCAGCCCCACATAGAATAGCCAATGGTAAAAGATTACGAGTTCTGTGGTCCAAAACATCTGGAGGACCAAAGGCTTCTCACACCATCTTAAGATGCACAGGGCATTGGCCTGATACTTTTGTGAGGGATGCAAGGCTATGGGACAAAAATTGAAGTTGTCTGTCCTTATCCACCCAACCTCACAGTTCGGAAGTATCCTGCCTGAGGCTGCTGAATTTCTTACCAAGAAGAATGAAAAGGACTTTTAAGTTCCTTACCAGGATTTTTTACTGTATAATATCTGTGTCCCACCTTTCTTCCCAAGAGCTCAAAGTGGTGTACGGGGTCTCCTTCCATTTTATCCTAACGGCAACTGAGGTTCAAGGACTATCTCTCCCTTTATGAGCCTGTGAACCTGCCTGAATGTTAAGATCCTTAGGGGTGGGGTGTATGGGGTCACCTTCCATTTTATCCTAACAGCAACTGAGGTTCAAGGTACCTCAAGGACTACCTCTCCCTTTATGAGCCTGCCTGAATGTTAAGATCCTTAGGGGTGGCTCTCAGCCCCACCACCTTCACAAGTGTGTGATGGGGACACAAGAGAGGGCCTTCTCTGTTGCTGCTCCCAGACTCTGGGACCCTTTCTCACAGGAGGCTAGCTGGCCTCATTTTGCTGCCCTTCCAGAAGTGGATGAAGATCTTTCTCTTCAAATAGGCTTTCCCTTCATGACTGGCTGTCTGAGAGGGTTTTTTAAATGGATCCTTGTTGCTTTAAATGTGTTTTTGGTATCAATGTTGTTTGCCATTTTAGTGTAGTATTTGTTTGATTCTTCTTAAAATATTTGTATACTTACTTTTTTAAGGTTTTAAATATTGTCTTTAATTGATATAAGCTGCCTTAGGTCCTTTTTATGAGGAACAGTGAGTGTAAAAATACTTACAATATATAATGAGGAACGGTGAGTGTAAAAATACTTACAATATATAAATAATAAGACCTGAAAAGGTGGTTAAACTGAGGGGGAGTACCGTGCCCAATAATACCTTGTCAACTGTTCTTCCCCATCACAGTCCGGCATGCTAACCACTACACCGCACTAGATTTGAGGGTTTTTGAACTTGAGGGAATTTAAACCAAAAACAGAAAAGAAGTTTAGTTTTTGAACTACAGCTCCAGAATCCAACAGCTTACATGGCCAATAAGGGACTCCAAGAGAAACAGGGCAAAAAAGTAACTTTTCAAGGTCCAGGTGCTATAACAATGGCCTTCCCTCACATTTTCAGGTGGAGTATCCCCTTAGGCGATCAGTTTTCTGCTCTACCAAGCAGAAAACTTCATGCCTTAAGAAAACTAGTCTGAAATGTTTGAGAGGGCTCATTTCCAACAATTAAGATTCTATCCTGCTTGAAAGAACATCAAACACATGCTTAGTGGGAGCGAATTGTTCTACATATCATCTGGTGTTCTTTTTGGGCACTTGGCCAGTCACAGGTAGACACTAATCCTTTGCAGCTAGGTGTACATTAGGGATGGGCAAGTGTGTGGATCAATTTTGGGTTTTTTTCTGCAACCCAGGGATCCATCAACAGAGCCAGTTATGAAATAGTGAGCATACTTTTAAGGTGGATATACAGTGAAGTCAGTGAGGCCATATAAAGCCCAGGAATTTGTGATGGATACTGGAACCAAGTCCGCATGTCTTTTTGCACAAAAACCCATCCCTGATTATTTCCAAGGATCGTTTTTTCATCCAGAGCTTGTAATAATTCCTTTTTAACCTACATCTCCCATTATCTGCCAGTCATTGGTCACGACAGCTATGGAATTCTGGAGGTTACAGGCCCCAAAGAGAACTTATCTAAGCTCAACTTTCAGTAACCTAATTTAGACATCAAAAGCATTTGAATCATTGCTATTATTACAGTCAGAAACACTGCCCTACTCTAAACGACCTAGAGATAAAGCAACAGATTGCCTTTTACCTTCCACCCACATAGTACTGGACAGAATGCTGCTCTTCTCTCAAATTGCAGTGGGTTCCATAATGTTTACTAAACTGTAACACAGAATTCAATATCATTTATGTCGACAGTACAGTGACAAACTGCAGGTGTTTCAAAGATGGCTGTGATTCACACTAAGGATGACCCATATTCTGTGTAAACTGGAAAATTTACTTTCCCAAGTGGCCATGACAATTGTGGAAATACAGGAGCTTGTAATCCAGAAAATAACTTTTCCAAGGTCCCATCGAAACTCATGCTAATAAAGCACATTTCTATAATAGTTGCTCACTCTGCATATATAGTGCTATTTTTGTTAGGAATGGCCCACTAGTGACTCTATTATATGAGCCTTTTATAGTTCACCCCATCAACAGCTATTGCAAACACACCTTTGGAGGATTAGATCTTGCTTTGTTTCTCAGAATTTCAGGATGCAAAATCCTTTATTCCATAAAGAGTTTCACAATCCTGCAACCCAAGGATGGGATGCCCTGCCCTTACCCTAGCCGTTCTTTGCTCTCTTCTGGAGTCAGCTGATCAAATGTTTTGGCCTCTTCTTTGCCCAAGAAGGCTTCGTGATCGTATTGGAAGTCTTGGTTGTCATCATGAGGGTGGTCACTGAGGTCTTTGCCATGGTGGACACGATCCTTCTTGTCAGGAGGGGGCTTGGCCATGACCCATGTGAGGCACACGGTTAACAGACAATAGGAACACAGCATCTTCTGCCAAGCCATTGTGGTGCAACTCTGAGAAAGGAATATTTTCAGGAAGGAGAGACACTGATTTGTCTAATGATGTACAGAACATTAAAAGCTACTTACTTGGAATACAGATCACAGAATCCCACAGCCAGCATGTTCACTGAGGGTGTTTGGAAGCCACCCTCCCAAAAATATAATTTCACCAAGTTTTTAACCCACTTTGGTCCAGGTCAGCAGCTCAAGGTTAAGAGTTTGACAAGGATATTTCAACCAGCCTCATTATTGATTTTCTTCTTCCATTTCTCCTATGAAAGTCCACAGTCCTTACATCCTAGTTCCAGATTTTGCCCCATCTTTTACAGTAGATATATCCCAATATATATCCACTTGAAATCTTTGTTCCTCCAGCTACATTATGCCATGAGAGTCTCCTGTTACTTTAGAGGACTTTCTGCCTTGATGCCCTGTAAGTTTTTCTGTGTGATGTTACATTGCTTATTGCTTTCAGATCTTTCCACCTTTTCTATAAAACTATTAGCACAAGTCCCATGCCTAGGGCAAAGTATGCGCAAGTCAGATAACCACATACTGCTTTTCTGCATCCCTCTACCACTACATTCCTCCTTTTCCACTGTTCTTTCTCTGTGCAAACTTTTGAATTGGGGCAGAGACCTCTTACACTTTGTGAAGATTGCTTATTGCTTTCAGATCTTTCCACCTTTTCTATAAAACTATTAGCACAAGTCCCATGCCTAGGGCAAAGTATGCGCAAGTCAGATAACCACATACTGCTTTTCTGCATCCCTCTACCACTACATTCCTCCTTTTCCACTGTTCTTTCTCTGTGCAAACTTTTGAATTGGGGCAGAGACCTCTTACACTTTGTGAAGCACTATGCATCTGTGTAAACTTTTGAACAGGGGCAGAGACCTCTTACACTTTGTGAAGCACTATGCATTATGAATACATTAATCATCATAATCACGCTTCTTGATGTGTCAGGAAGCTAAAAGTCCTGTATCTTCTCCCACTATTATCTTATTTAACCTACAACATTCCTGTTAAAGATGTATATGTGTTTTATATTAACAGTCCAACATTCCTCCATGATGCAGGGGAAAACATGCTTACAACAACCTTGTAAGGTTGCCTGGACTAAAAGAATAGCCGGCCTACATTTGCTCAGCTAGCTTTGCAACCAAGTTGAGATTTGAATGAGGTTACCTTAGTACCAATGCAGCATCCTAATGACCATGTGGGTTCTTGAAAAGTGTGGTAAAGTGAACCCAAGCAACCTCCCACACAAAAAGAACACAGAGACTGGATTTCCGACAGCTTTATCTACCCAGGAGTTTAGCTTATTTTAATACTGTCTCACCCACCCAGCCACACATACTGTACATGCCACTTTCAAACCCTGACATCTGACCGTTCAGCCTGGAGGCAGGCAGTGCATAAAGGCCTCTCCCAATTTGAAGAGACCCTTGTCCAGCAGGCTGAGGCAAAGAGGAAGTCACAAAAGCAGCAAAACCAGGGAGCTGGACAGGGGACAGATTGGATTTGTCTTCAGTGTGGAAGAGATTGTCACTCTCGAATTGACCTCCTCAGCCACACTAGAAGCTGTTCCAAGTCCTACATACAGAGCACGTCACCATAGTCTTTCGAGACTGAAGGATGCCTAACTAACTAAGGTGTCATTTTGATCTGCCCAACCTTCTTAAGAGAACTAAAATGTCTCAGCTCTTGATTTCTTTTTTCTACAAGATATTTATCGGCACACAACTACCAAACCTCCAGAATTCTAAGAAAATTGGGGTGGGGTGGGGGTTGGGATGGCAAGATGAAAACACAGTCCTGAAATAAGGCCTGCACCTGTAGTTCTGAGGGCAAAACTAGGGAGGAAAAGCAATCCCGTAAGCCCAACAGTGGAAGAGAACTAGGCCAGTTCCCAATTGTCCTGCCCAAAATACAGAATGTTCAATTCCTGGAAGCCGCTCAATTAAAGTTGTCCTCAACTCCTTTCAGAACAAAGCCACAGAGAATCAAAGTGACAGGAGAATCAGAACACAGCATTACTTCCTGGGCTGCAGGACAAAGAAGAACCTGCCCGATGCCAAATTACTTGGACAACCAGCAAAAGCAACATCCTGGGCCTGAACCAAATGGGACGCCCACCTTCCCCTTAACCCTGTTCCGCCACAGCACCCAACGTGGCAAATTCTGGAGAGGCCAGAGAGACAATACTTTTCTTGGATCAGGAAGCGGGACACAGGGAGAGGAAAACAAGGTTCAGAACCCACAGAGGAAGGAAAGTATGGGATGAGTTTGCCTGTTAAATTAGGGGAGGAAAAGTGCCACAGTGGAGAAAGGAGGGTGACAAGAATAAGATCTGGAGCAGATTTTTAGGTCCAAGAAGACTTACTGCTGCTGCAGCCACAAAGTTATCAATTGGCAATTTCCATTTTTTCCTCCCCTGGCTTTCCCCTCCGGACCGTTAGATGGTCATATTACTAACTCCACTGACTTCGAAGTGTGGTTACTTACTACTACGAATTGTGCAGCTCGGCTGGGTTTGAGGTCCCTCTTGCTCATTCTGCTGAATGAGGCCCAGGGCATCCGTCCCAAATCCTACTACTGTATAAGCCTACCCACCCCTACCCCATCCCATGGATGCTTTAGCAACCGCCCCGTTCTTTGCAACCCGTCGCGGGCGGCAATCGGGACTTGGAAGCGGCCGGAATGCCCAACAATCCCAAGGCACCACCATGAGGTCCCCACGAGACGCAGCCCCCCCCCCGCACAGCTCCAGCGGATCAACCACAGCCGTTTTTACACACACACACACACCGCCCCCGCCCCACAGCCACGCCATCGAGTCCGTCTGCAAGCTCAGGACCCACCAGGGTGCCTCAATTCATGCCCCAACTCCGGTCGTAAACACTAAATTGGGGAAGAAAATCACATTTTCTCTTCCTCACCCCCATCCCCAATTGCAACGCTAGATTCTTACTTTCTATTATGCTTTTTCCACGAATGCCCCGACACACCGCCCCCGCCCCACAGCCACGCCATCGAGTCCGTCTGCAAGCTCAGGACCCACCAGGGTGCCTCAATTCATGCCCCAACTCCGGTCGTAAACACTAAATTGGGGAAGAAAATCACATTTTCTCTTCCTCACCCCCATCCCCAATTGCAACGCTAGATTCTTACTTTCTATTATGCTTTTTCCACGAATGCCCCGCTCCCTGCCTCTGCCACCCAGCCCCCATCCCCAATTGCAACGCTAGACTCTTACTTTCTATTATGTTTTTTCCACGAAAGCCCCGCTCCCTGCCTCTGCCACCCACCCCCCTCGCGAATATTTTAGCTCGCTCCGTTAGATGACGGCTATTCATGCCCTATCGCCGCCCCTCTTCCCTCTCTACTCCGCTAGGCACCCGATCCGCGCGGCTCCCCGCTCCCCAAAGCGCTTTTACCTCCTCGCTCCGGCTGCAACTCGCGCGATGCCCCTTTTTTTGGAGTGCCGTCCCAGTTCATCTTCGGCTGCCCCAGGGTCTCCCCGGGGCCACGCCCCTCATCCCCGGCAAAGCCAATCGGAAGCCGCCGCCGGCCGAGGGGCGTGGCCGAGGGTCTCCCGGACTGGCCGATCGGCGCCACGTTGACACTGAAGTTTCATTCTTCC